AAAAAAAAGTATCTTCCATCAAAAGCCTACAACCCTAAAATGTTGATAACACAAACCTGTCCTCTTAGATCCTTTCTATCTTGAAATTAAATTTAGAGTTTCTTTTCAGCTACTGAGTATCCTAAGTATATTTAAAAATCCATTTATAGCACATATGTGAGCAAGATAAAAATCCGGCCATTTCCCAGATTACCCGGAGTCTTCAAGGGAGAATCACGGGATAGAGAGGTGTGACCATACCTCTCTATCCCAGTAGCAGATGTCAGGGTCATGTGGTACTGGGAAATAATTATCCCAACAAGTGCTATCCAGTCTCACTCTATTTCCTGTTTCTTTATTGTTTTTAATAGTTGACAGTATTTACTATTTAACAGACATTCAAATTTAAACTAAAAGTTAGCTAACCCTATCAGGAAGGCACTATTATCAGTCATATTTCACCTAACTGTAAACTGAAAGACACACTTAAATAACTTACCTAAGGTCTTAAATCCCAGAAAAATCATTTGTACCTTAACAACCCCCCCCTTAGAATGTCATTCTGGGGTTTCCAGCTGTTGTTACATTCCAGTTCTGCCTCTGCTTGCTGCTGTTTTCCTCCTTTCCTTTTTCCAATCAGATTATTATGTTGCTGAATTGCAGTACATCTAGATCTTCCATTCTTCCCAAAGAGTTTTTCATCACCACCAAAGTTATTTTCTTGAAATGGATTTTTTAAATTAAGTTCAGTACAGTGCCATTAGGGTGCCAGAAGAGGGATATCCAAGATAGATGTCCTCCTGAGCTTTGCTTCTTTATTGTTATAGCCAACAAATGCCATAAATAAAAAATTTAAGAAAAAATTTTTAATTATGCAATTAAAAATAAATAGCAAGAGATGATAAACTCCAAAAAAAAAAAAAAAAACCCCAAATTCTTCAACTAGACAATTATAAATAGAAGAGAGATCAGAAGGAAACAACATGTGAAAAAAACTAATTTGGCTATCCAGGAAAGCGACGTAACTCCTATTCTCAAATAAGGAGGTCTCTATACTGGGAGAAAATACTTAAAAATGAAGCCCAAAATAACGAAAGTAGTTTGGAGCACCTAGCTATGCTTTATGTATTTAGGCCAAATAAATCACTGCTAGAGTACTATATAAATTTTTGCAAAGACAAAAGATTTATTTTCCTCTCAACTTTCCATAACCTTTAAGTTTTTCTAGGTATTATTTCAAGTTCCCAAACCCCACATTCTCTGTTCAATTAGACAATTAGCAGTTTCGACTTTGCCCACAGTAGTAGGCAGCTGTCTCCTATTTGCGCTCTACAAATTTAACCAAGTATTGTTAGCTAGTGAAATCCCCAAGAGACAGAAAAGATAGTAAGCAAAAGTTTCCTCAATTTTTAAAAGGAGAACATATACTACAATCCATAGCTGATCCATAGCAGCTAACTTCAAATGCTGAAAGCACACTCATGCAGCAGGAGTCTAAGTTGTTCCAGAAAACGAAGAGTATTAAACAGTGGTGGTAAGGATATACTTTTTTTTTTTTTTTTTTTAAAGACAAAGTCTTGCTCTGTCACCCAGGCTGGAGTGTAGCGGTGAAATCTCAGCTCATTGCAGCATCTGTCTCCTGGGTTCCAGCAATTCTTCTGCCTCAGCCTCCCTGTAACTGAGATTAGAGGAATGCACCACTACTCTCAGCTAATTTTTGTGTTTTTATTTTTTTTAATTATTTATTTATTGAGACAGAGTTTCACTCTTGTTGCCCAAGCTGGAGTGCAAGGGCGCAATCTCAGCTCACTGCAACCTCTGCCTCCCAGGTTGAAGCCATTCTCCTGCCTCAGCCTTCCGAGTAGCTGGGATTACAGGCACACACCACCACGCACGGCTAATTTTTTGTATTTTTAGTACAAATGGGTTTTCACCATGTTAGCCAGGCTGGTCTCGAACTCTTGACCTCAGGTGATCCGCCTGCCTCAGCCTCCCAGTGCTAGGATTACAGATATGACCCACCGTGCCCGGCCAGTAAGGAAATACTTCTAACACCAAGAACTTAAAGAGTGGCACACCACTGAAACAAACTTTCATTGAGAAATGAGCATTCTATGTAGAAGGCTGGTTAAAGCAGAAGTTGAATGAACACCTGTCAGGAATGCTGGATTTCTGAATTCTACGAATGATGTAAGAATGCTAAATTAAATTAGGCCGGGTGCGGTGGCTCACACCTGCAATCCCAGCACTTTGGGAGGCCAAGGCAGGTGCATCACCTAAGGTCAGGAGTTTGAGACCAGACTGGCCAATATGGTGAAACCTGGTCTCTACTAAAAACACAAAAAATTAGCCGGGGCAGTGGCGGGCACCTGTAACACCAGCTACTTGGGAGGCTGAGGCAGGAGAATTGCTTGAGCCCAGGAGGCGGAGGTTGGAGTGAACAGATCGTGCCACTGCACTCCAGCCTGGGCAACAAGAGCAAAACTCCATCTCAAAAATATAAAAATAAAAAAAAAGAATGCTAAATTAGATGTTACCTAAGGTTCCATTGTAAGATAATTTTTTAAGCAGGTTAAGTATCCAGGAGTTTAGTTTGACAAGCCTTTTGTCCAATTTTTTTAAAAAAGATAAAAGTCAATCCTGTAAAAACTCTTATTCCTTGTCCAAGACTATAATTATGCAGGTAAGTCTGAGTGAATGGAAGCAGCTGCCTCTAGCAGAAAAAAGAAAAAGAAATGTTAACAAGTTCCAGCATCACCTACTTTGACTATATTCTTAAGAAGTCTAAAGCTTGTGGATTTGAAAAGCAAATTATCATAAATAATCTTACAGGGCATCTTTTGAAATATTAGTTGCTTTAAGCAAGCTACTCCCTAGCATAAATCTGGAAAACTTATTTATATTAATACATTCCTTGGGAGTTCAATGTAAAAAGACTATATCGCCACCATCACTGTTTAATACTTTTTCGTTTTTCTAAAACAGCACAGACTCCTGCTACATGAGCAAGTTTTCAGCATTTGAAGATAGCTGCTATGGATCATCTATAGATTGCAGTATGTTCTTTCTACACCCCTTTTAAAAACTGAGGAAACTTTTGCTTACTATACTATCTTTCCTGTCCACAATGTAAAAAGAAGTTCGGTGTAACTCAAAAGCGTAGGCCAAAAGGGTTTTTTAATGACTAAAGTACATTTCAGTTATTTCTACGTTTGGATAACAGTACTGAGGTGGGCCAGACACAGTGGGTCATGCCTGTGATCCTAACACTTTGGGAGGCTGAGGCAGGGGGATCACTTGAGTCTAAGCGTTCAAGGTTGCAGTGAGCTATGACTGCCCTACTGAACTCCAGCCTGGATGACAGTGAGACCCTGTCTCTAAAAAATTAAAATTAAAATATCTTTACAACAGTATTGAGGAGAATGCCATGAAATTTCTAATAATGTACAACGGTTCTAATAGTAAGAATTATCTGTGTCCTCCTAAGACCATTCACATCTCTTGCTTATGTTACCCAGCTTTTTTTTTTTTTTGAGACAGTGTCTCATTCTGTCACCTAGGCTTAAATACAGTGATGTGATCTCGGCTCACTGCGATGTCCGCCTTCCAAATTCAAGCAATTCTCCTGTCTCAGCCTCCGCAGTAGCTGGGACTACAGTTGTAGGTTCACCACGTCCAGCCAATTTTTTGTATTTTTAGTAGAGGCTAGGTTTCACCATGTTGGCCAGACTGGTCTCAAACTCCTGACCTCAGGTGATCCACCAGCCTTGGCCTCCCAAAGTGCTGGGATTACAGGCGTGAGCCATTGTGCCAGGCCTGCTACCCCCCGCTTTTTTTTTTTTTTTTTTTTTTTTTTTTGAAAAAGAGTGTTCCGCTTGCCTACTCATCAACTCTACCTACCTGAAAAAAATAAAAAATCCCTTCAGGAAAAAAAATCCATTTCAATAAAAAACACAAGTAAATAGCTCCATACAAAAAACATTTCTTCCATAACTCCATGGATTAATCCATTTTAACAGGGTTGTTAATGAAGCTACAGATATTTCTATGTAATGATTTGGCCAAACTAGCAAGTACATATTCAGCATATACCACATGCAAGGAGGTACAGCGAAGTGATGTTAATAGTCTCTGCCCTCAACAAGCTTATTACCAATTTAGAAAAACATGTAAGGTTAACAACACAAGACAATATAAAAATGTCAAGAAGTGTACAGACAATAGGTAACAGAAGTTAAAAGAAACAAATTACTTTAGCTGAGCATGGTCAAGAAACATACCTTCCCCTTCCCTCAGGAAGTTTGAATTTTGAACTCTACCCAGTGACGTTATCTTTCACCGATGTTTTTATACTCATAGTCTATCTAACAAAAGCACTGTAGTAGAGCTAGTGAAAGAAATAAATAAATGAGCTGAAACCAAGCAATTTACAGAATCAACTTTGGCTGAATTTCTCTTCTGCTACTCCTCTCATTTTTCTGTATTATTTACACACATAAGATTCATTTCCCCCAGAAAAAAGAACCAATTACCAAAAAATACCCAAAAGCTTGAAATACAATAATTTGGATGAAAAAATTGTCACACTTCTTATTTATCTCTACTGGTAATGCTTTTCCCAGATATTTCTGGTCTACAACCTATCAAGCTTGAGAAGAGACTGACAAATATAATTTGGGGCTAAACATAAAGATTTTAAAAGTTTAAACTTTAATAAAAGTTTATTTCATTACAATATGGATGTCCCAATAATACCTGATACACTCAGAACCCTATTACCTGGACAATACAAACCCAGATTAACAAGACATTAATAAACGTCTAATAATAAATACATGGAAAACATTTTTCTTTTGCATTCAGTTTTTTTTTAAATAGAGAAACTCGGCCAGGTACGGTGGCTCACATGTGTAATCCCAGCACTATGGGAGGCTGAGGCAGGTGGATCACCCGAGGTCAGGAGTTCGAGATCAGCCTGACCAACATGGAGAAACCCCATCTCTACTAAAAATACAAAATTAGCCAGGCATGGTGGTGCATGCCTGTAATCCCAGCTACTCCTGAGGCTGAGGCAGGAGAATCATTTGAACCCGGAGGCAGAGATTGTGGTCAGTCGGAGGTTGCGGTGAGCCGAGACTGTGCCACTGCACTCCAGCTGGGCAACAGGAACAAAACTCCAAAAAAAATAAAATAAGAGAAACTCTAAGGATTTGAAGCAAAAGGCTTTACTTGGTTCTAAATAATTAAACATGAAAATTACACTTATGCTATAGAACATTACAAATTCTAATTACTCCCATAAAACACACAAGAGGCCTAATGTGGTGGTTCATGCCTGTAATCCCAGCACTTTGGAAGGCTGAGACAGGCAAGAGTTCGAGAGCACCCTGGTCAACATGGCGAAACCCCATCTTTACTAAAAATACAAAAATTAGCGGGGTGTGGTGGCATGCACCTGTAATCCCAGCTACTCAGGAGGCTGAGGCACAAGAATCGCTTGAACCCGGAAGGCAGAGGTTGCAGTGAGCTGAGGTTGCACCACTGCACTCCAGCCTTAAGCGACAGAGCAAGATTCCAACTCAAAAAAGAAACAATTAAAAGAAACTTTGGAAATCACCCATTCCAACCTAAGTCATTCTGTCAATTTTGTCTTCTATATAATGAATTGGACTAAGTTCTAAGGTAGTTTAAGCTCTAAAAAAAACTCTTAGGCCAGATGCGGTACAACACACCTGTAATCCTAGCACTTTGGGAGGCTGAGGCAGGTGAATCACTTGAGGTCAGGCATTCGA